TAAATATGAGTGAACAATATTCAAGTGTGGGCCTTATACAGATTTTGAAGAGAGTAAGCTTAGCCTCACTTGTGAAGAAGTTCTTGTTTATAAACCCAATGAGTCGTCTAGATTTAGAGATAATATTTGAGGCATGTTCTTCGAATTTTCGGCTTTTAGAGTAACTAATACCAAGGTCACGCGCTGATATAAGTGTCTGAACCTTACATTATTGTAAGTAGACTGGTGTATCAAGGTGACGCTTGCTAAAATGCATTATGCCACATTTGTTGCTACTAACATACTTATGCCTGCTATTCCCAATGGAGCATAAGCTGCCGACCAGTACTCACCAACCTACTCTTTCCTGGGCTTACCTTTCCACTTATGTCCAATTTCCGTTCACCCTTCTCATGTCTGTCTCTATTTCTCGGAGTAATGTATCTGTTGGAATTCCAATCTTACCTTGACCTTGAGAGTTCTAAGTGACGGCTTGTCTTGCGACGCTGCTGGGTGTTTTCCCCAGTGTGTCCTATCCACTTCGAGCGCCTCTTCCTGGTTTGTTCTCTCCCATAGTATACTGCTACTGATAGTGTCTGGCAAACGGATCCGAAGTATTTTCCTTAGACGAATGTTAAAAAATACTTGTTCCCTCTGAATGATAGCTTTTGTAGTTCTCCAAGTTTCTGAGTTTCGAGTTCCAGATATTCCTCAACTGTAGAAATGCAGCCCTTGCTTTGCTGGTCCGCGCCTATATATCTGCTGCTCAGATATGTCCAGGCTTTGATGCCCTCCGAGGCATCTCCATCAAGAGTGATCTGGTTGGCGTATGTTGTACCGAAGAATCTTGCTTTTCCCTTTGTATATGTTGAGGTCTTCTTCTGCTACACTGCTCTTCTCCTGCGTTTCTCGACCGTAGATGTTACGTTGTCGTGGTGGTCAAGCTTGCCTATCGTGATTACCCAGCAGAGCTATGTTGGCTGCAACATATGTTCCTGTAGGTTCTACGATACCAGGCTGGTCGATTGGAGAACGATGAGACTAAAAGCAGCTACTCACGGTCTGTAAGCGAAGACGTGCTGCTGATTGTGGAGGGGTGGTACAGCAGTAAGGTGTTTCCATCGTACAACGATCATCTGCAGCGATGCTGCCTTCTCACAAGGAAGAAGGGATTAGAAAATGTCGACCCTAAAATTATCACACCTCACCATACCGCATGGATTTCCGTCTCCGGCGGTAAGGGTGCCCACAAAGAGCTTCAAAAAGAGCGGAGCTAATGCTCAAAAAATGTTTTGTAAAATGGCCGTACGTGACCGGCCTCAAGCAGTTGTTCACAGTGCTCTGCAACCAGCAAGTGGTGGTCTGAGGTAATGTCAGCCTCTCTCTTGGTTCTCATGTCCCAGTGGTCCTTCTGAACACTTTGAGGATACAGATATCGTCATTTCGGTCACGGTTAGTATGATCAGGTGAAATCCATGTAGCTTTCTGTATGCGTTTGTGTTGGAATATTGTGCCGCCGATGACCAGTTTGTCACAAATATCCAAAGAAACAGGTGGATTCTATTTGACTTCAAACTTATGAATATCAACTGTAGTAGCACGATTTCACAGTCGCTGGTGAACGAGGTCTAAATTTCGGAGATTTAGTTAGTTGTCGGAACTCTTAAGCACATAGTCATGCATTCGTGCGCAAATTTGATGTCTCTGCTTAAGTCTCTGAAGATTCTGAAACATTTGAGCAGCACTGTCACCATCAACTAAAAAGGAGAAAAACGTTTCTGGAAATTCTTTTTACGACGAGTGAGTAAGGATTAGGGGAACTGTATGGTTTTCTAGACTCAACTAGATTTTTCATAGGTGACACGATACAAACAACAATTCACATTACATGTTTCTTAAGATCAAGAAGCAGGATTTCTTCACGACAAGCTTCTTCATGGAGACTTTGAACGTGCTGACGGTTTAAAAAGAGTTTGACTGTATAACAGAGATACGTGATATCATTTTGGGTCGATTAAGGTTTTTGTTTGACAAAACAAAATTCGTGGATAGGGCTCTGCTTATCTTCAGAATCCGATAGGCATAAGACGTCATTTCGTCTATGGAATTGTTTTAGAAAGAGAAAAGAACAGCTTGAACCACTTAAAGAGGTCCGGATAGAGATTTTTTGGAAAGGGCCCTAGTCAAACATCCATCAGTTGATGACGTATCTCCTGCGTAGAAATGAGACATTGTGGGATAGTTGGTCCAACCTATATCACATAGGTCTGTCATACAGTGATCCGCATATCAAAACAAGGTATCAATGTTATCGGGCCATAAGGGAATGAGTTGAAGTTTGAGATGTGGCTTTAGAATCTTGGGTGTATGTTTCAAAATAATAAGAATAGGATATATATATATATATATATATATATATGATAAAAAATATGAAGAAAGCAATATTATGATACGGAAAGACATATAGTTATTTATAACTCGTGAGTAGAAATAGACTTTTAGTTTTTCCCTCAGTATCGTGGTATTTATGGAAAGAAATATCACAAGTAATCAGAGTTTCACGACGCTTTTGTCCCTAACACGATAAATCAAAAACCCAGTCAGACTTTAATTCATAAATGAGGGAGGTCAAAAGTATACTTTGCAGATGATCAATAAGCCCAGAAATTTGTGGTTCGAAATGGCCACTTTTTGTTAGGGGTTGATACTCAGAACAAAATATATGCAGTAACCACTCGGTAGCTAATGAGTAGGAACCTTGCAAACAAGGAATAATGTGCAGTTCAGAGAGGACAAACAATCATAAAGTAAGCAGTTAATTATCTAAAACTTTAAACTTGCTTTAATAACAAGGTGATTAAAAATCTCTCTCATCAGCGATAGACTGCAACAAATAACTCAAACAGAATTAGTCAGAAAGTCGGTTACTCTGCATCAGTGCCGCTAGTGATCAAAAATTTAAGTGAAACAGAACTAAATAGACGAAGGTTAATTTATTCGAATTATATGAGCGAAAGCGCAATGAATTCGAAGTATCTGTGGTGCCGGTGAAACACAGCAGAGCCTTAGCCAAATCACCTCTCATACTGCATAATTTATACGTTAAACGACAGATCATTCATGATTGAGAAATATCCCGAACATCGATAAAGTCAAGAACAATTTAAAAGAATTTAACATATGGAATCAGTAGACAGTCTTGAGTAATAATCGTTCCACCCTGTACTTCTAATACCTAACAGGACTAACGTGTGTTGTTCTCCATTCTAGCCAGTCATTCAACTGATTATCACAACAACATAATCCAAGTTATGCACTGACCATTGACTTAGATCACCTGCACTTTTGATCAGCATACTTATCCAAACGAAACAAAATCAGAAGATTCAACGATCATAAAACTTTCTGACAGTTTCTGGATATAGAGAAGTGATGACTCTTAGGCACAACCTTCTATACTACAGCGACAAGCATTTTCGCTTTTATTTAGTGGGAGAATATGGAGCATATGAACATGGTTATCAGGAAAGTACTAATTTCACGCCCTAATTTGCATTCTACTTGCTTTATGCGTCTGTTTACTTGAAATGTGTTACAACAGCGTGAAAAAGGCTTCAAAATATTCAGATAAAGTCAACTAAAATTATATCGTTTTATGCAAGAGTTATTCTAGTAAATGGAAAAGTTTAGATATAACATTTTATTCATAGTAAAAATGGATGTGTGACTTTTTTGCCAGCGCGGGTTTAGGAAAGGCAGGTCACGCTTATAAAGTCTTCTCAAGGCTTGTGACAGTAGAACAACCAGCTAGGGCAAAAAGACTGGCCACACAATGTTCTTTGACTACGCGAAAGCTTTCAACACAGTACCTCACATACTCCTGATTATGAAGGCTACAAAGATGGGCTTCACTAATCCACTTCTATCCCGGTCCGTAAAGTTCGATGGGAATAAAAAGGTTTAGTATCAAGGTAAGTAGAGTGCTTGCGCCCTGGCCAGTCTCAATGTCAGGATATTCACAGGGGACCATCTTAGGTTCACTACACTTTCCAATATTCATTAGTGACCTGTTAAATAAAATGAACCCAGCGACACTAATCTATACAGACAATGTAAAGTTCTGGAGGTCTGCAAGAAGAGTAAAGGATTAATATAAACCTCAAAATGACCTTACAGTAATAGAGGATTGGGCACTGGACAACAGGTTGCAACCTAACTAGTTGAAATGTCGCATCGCGAATATTCTGTGCCGTGAGACGCAAATCATTTCCTCAATGGAAGTCAGCTACCAAATGTCTCCTCAGAGCTGTCTAAAGCATAGACATAAAAGCCATTGTAAAATAAACAGGATATGCGGCCGAGGCCGACGTTACTCTTAATATTCTGCGAGAATAATTAGCTGAAATGACCCAACTGTTGTTCTTATCTCATTTTAAAATATACACACGCCCACACCCTTTAGTTCACGTTCAGAAAACTGTCTGTCATTATAATTTCCATCTCTCAGATCAATAACTTATTCTGTCCCGTCTACATTGTAATATCAGTTTCCTCTTTTATCAATAAACTTCCGTCCTCCCACACTATATGGTTTACTAATTAGTTAACTTATTTATTTACTTACTTACTCCCGGAATCTCATTGGAATTTTTTTCCCTTATTATTATATACACTACAATCGACTGATCTAATAGCTTCTGGAATCCGGAAACCCTACGTCCCTGAGAAGAACTCACTCAAATCACAGAACATTCAAATTAAAAAAGAACTGCGAAATGACTAGAATAAGTGACTTCAAGTTGCTAGCCTAAAGTCGATTGAACATTACCAAATACTTGAAACCCTATTTAAAGAACAAGAAACAAGGGCAAAAGAATCAGTTGGTTTTTGTTGTTTAGTAAAAAAAGACATTGTCTATTGGACTGGGGACGTCACGCGTGCTGTTTGATTTCGCAAGTTGTACGGAAACTTATGTTCAGTGTCTAAAATGATTGTGTTCATGGATGTCAATACTCGATTCTATTTTTACACATCACTGTAGTACGTACATGCTGTAGACATGGAATTTCCTGTTGAGACTAATAATTTAAGTTTATTAGTTGTGTACATTTCACCTCGTTTAATATCTGATCAGTATTCTGTGTTATCTCAATCACTACCTGTATAGAAAGTATCAACCTCCTTAGTTATATTTTAAAGAAGCAGATTTTACTGGATAGATTTTGCTCCGTTTATAATACTTGGTTTCGCACATTTGCTTTCAGTCCCTACGAAACTTGTCTAGATGATTTTGATATCGTCTAAACTGTTGATATACACAAAAAGCTTTATTTGGCTTTGTTAGTTATGGTGTTAACAATGCTCAATTATCATAATAAGACATTTCGTGGAGCTAAGTAGTATTATCATAATTGTTTTAGTTACGTTCTCGATCACTTGCTGACGAAAGTGAGTAATGGCGTTCACTCTGTTTTTCTCTCGTAAGTCTGAATTGCAGTCAAATCATCTGGCTTATACTTGACGCTATCTGACCACAAATGTATTTATCAATCTAATTTATAGTGGTTTTTTTAATGATGAACTCACCAAATACTAAAATGCATCCGTCGAATTAATATCATTACTCATGAGCCATATTTTTACTTTATGTCAAATCTACAGTACTCAGCCACAGAACTTGTAAGTTGGACACTGATAAAAACTGTCCAATCGCACTATCTAATGTAACTGTTCGTGTCTGAAATATTTCTCTATCACTACGTACTAGTTTTTTTGAATTACGGTTCTACTGAATCCCAACCACCTTCTACTCTACAGTTTATCATCGTCTTTTGAAAGCAACAACTTGTAACGTAATGCTTTTTTATCTGCGTAACCCGTAAGCTTATGATACTCTCATATTAGGCAAAGGGAATCAAGGTTGCTTAAATAAGACATGGGTAATTCAACAAACTAATGTTTTGTTTGTGATAATTCTCTGCATATTACTAGAATGTCTCCGTGAAATCTCCATTACTTACGAATAAACAGATTTCCTGGGTACTAAAAAGTTTTTGTACTTTCAGGTACATGGAACTCCCAGATGTATTTTATTCAAAATCACAATATATTGAAACTGCTAGTGGCAACAAAGTTAGTCGTAAATCTGTTTTATGTGGAAGTCAAAACATTGTACTAAATGGCAAAACCATCATTATGTCTGATTGCATCATACGAGGTGACTTGGCCAATATACGTATTGGAAGGCATTGTGTAATTGGTCGGAAAGCTGTCATTCGCCCACCATTTAAAAAATTTAATAAAGGCGTCGCATTTTTTCCTCTTCACATTGGAGATAATGTTTTCATTGAAGAAGATTCTATTGTCAACGCAGCACAAATCGGATCTTATGTACACATCGGTAAAAACTGTGTCATTGGTCGGCGTTGTGTACTGAAAGATGCTTGCGCATTAAGAGACAATACAGTACTCCCTCCAGAAACGGTAGTACCTCCATTTAGTATATATGGTGGCTCACCTGGTCGACTGATTGGAGAGCTACCTGAATGCACTCCGGATTTGATGGTTGATCTTACACATGGATTTTATTATCACTTTATACCTTCAAATGAACCCGAAACAAATTCTTGAATTTAGTTGTTGGTAACATTGGAGGGGTTCGGCCCCATCTGGTGGTTCTGGGTATTTTACTTTAAATGACGTATGGAAGAAGTAAAGCTTTTATGATATAATTTCCTTTTCATCCATAAAATTCTTAATCCGTTTTGCTTTGAAAACAACAAATCTTGTTTGATAAGACAAATATTAGGCGTTTACCATATAAAATCTCAGGATCATACCATACAAGCTATCTAACACCTCACTGACTTCATTCATGTTTCACATAATGGAAAGTGTGCTAATATTCAGTTTTGATGTTTGAATGCAATGGATGATGTTCACATAAAGTAGAATAGAATAACCGCAAATACCTTATTCACTGTGAAGCCTAAATTCCATGAATATTCCTTCTTGGATTAAGGAGTTTCGGTATACAGGTATGATATACTCTTTTGAATATTAGTGTGAAAACTCGTAGATATGTCTTTGTCGACTGTTGATTTAGGTTAGGTCAGTCATTTATGATCAACATAGCGCCTGCTATGAATGGACGTTAGCTTGTTACTTAACCAAATCAACACGAGATGGAAACTAGAAAAGAGAAGTAGATGAACCAAAAGCACAATATTCGCTATGATTATATAAGCCGCTTAATAATGAGAATATAGTTTGTAAGGTAGTTGCCTGGATGCCTATTAAAAAATATGGCTGCATCTGTCACCGCAGCAGATCCTGAACATGACATTTGGAGAATTATTGTGTTAGTTTGTGTGGTGTATGGCTACGTTTTAACAGATACATTTCTACACATAATTTGATATTTATTACTTTATTCTGTATTGGATATCCATAAAATTAATTCTTTTATAGATATACTAACTTAAATAAGTCTCTTGTTTACCATAATTCGTAGATTTGTTCCTGGATAGCTGTATTCATCAAAAATACTTGTTTGATATTTATTTAGACGTCGGTAACCAAGTATGGTGTTTAGTATCCAGCTTTAATTTCTGCATATACTTCGTATAATAACTTGAAGAAATAAACCATTTAAGCAAAACAATATAAATTCATTTAACTTCGTAAGGTTCTCATCAGCTTTTTAATACATATTTCATAATCAAAATTTTAAGTAATGATTAGCGTAGCGTAAGTGAAGATTCGAATAAAGTTATGAGTAGAATGTTGCAAACATACTTGAGAACCAGAGACTTATAGGACAAGGGTTAAATTAGAACCGAATGATCATAGTACCAAAATTAACTGATCATGCGATAAAATAATGGAACACATGTTGACGCTATTTGATGGTGAAATGGTAATGACATATTGAACTAAAACAATCAGGATTCAGACTTTTTGGCCTACTTAATACCCTTGTAGCCACACTCATCAACTATGACTGATTTCGACTTTGTTATTACACGATTAGCAACTGGTCTGTTTATACTTGTTCAAAGAACACTAGGTTGCGTCATAACTGTTTATCAACTTCCAGTTTTTTTTGATGGTTCTTGTATTAGTTTGAGTCGAAACAGTTCAAGGATCAAATTTATCTAGAACTAATTTATTTGATCATGCGTAGTGTAGTGGTATAATGTAGTAGCGGCGATAGGCAAGAACAGACAGTTGTACCGACTTATCAAGGAAACCGGTATTAGGAACCAAAATGTGAGTGAGACTATTTCGGAAAAGGATGGTCTTATTATCCATTCTCAATCCAAGAGACTGGACCGATGGGCAGAACACTTTGGGGATCAGTTCAACTGGCCTCGAGCCACTCTTCGGTTACCCACGATCTCCAGTTATCCTGAATGGCAAATCGACGTAAGTCCGCCTAGTCTTAATGACATTGAGAAAGCGTTAGGAAATCTGGAGCGAGGACGAGCTGCAGGTCCTCAAAGACTGACCCCTGAGATATTTAAGGATGGTGGTCCAGTTTTAGCAGCTAGGTTGACTGAGATCTTAGGTAGAATCTGGGAACTGGACGTAATCCCATCTGACTGGTCTCAATTACTGATTGTCCCAATCTATAAGAAAGGACAAAAGTCTTCTTGTGTCAATCACACGAGAATAAGTCTAACTAATATAGTTTCTAAATTGTTAGCCTCGATTATACTTAGACGCCTTACTAGTGCTCGTGAAGAGCAGACTCGAGAAAACCAGGCTGGTTTTCGACCTGGACGTGGTTGTATAGACCACATTTTCACACTCCGACAGGACCTGAAACACAGACACACATTTAGGCGTCCTACAATAGTTGTCTTCCCGGACCTAAAAGCGGCATTCGACTCAGTGGATCGTGAGGTTCTGTGGCAGTGTCTGTCATTGAAAGGTGTACCAAAGAAGTACATTAACCTCATACAAGCTCTCTACTCGAGTGAGGGTTTATGGCGAACTGTCAACGGAATTTTTCACTTCAAGTGGTGTCCGTCAGGGATGTCCACTTTCTCCATTTTTGTTTAATTTTATCATAGACATGCTCTTAGAAATAACCTTATCCTCGTCTGAATTTTCAGGAGTAGACCTTTTACCAAGTGGCTCGCTTATTGACTTGGAATGTGCCGATGACATTGTCCTACTTGGTGAAGACGCTGACAAGATGCAGAGTCTTCTGACCACTCTAAGCAACAATGCAAGGATGTTCGAGATGCGGTTCTCACCCTCGAAATGCAAAATGTTGCTTCAAGATTGGGTTTCATCGGCACCTGAACTAGTGATAGGGAGTGAAGTAGTCGAACGTGTAGACCGCTTCACGTATCTGGGAAGTCTCGTCAGTGCTGATGGCCTGGTGACTGACGAAATCCGAGTTGGATATAGAAGGCTCGATTGGCTTTTGCCAACCTGCGTCACTTATGGCGCAGGCGAGATATCCGCTTGTTAACCAAAGGACGAGTGTACTGCGCAGCAGTTCTCTCTGTCCTACTATGCGGATGCGAAACATGGCCGTTAAGAGTAGAGGACATTCGCAGGTTACTAGTCTTCGGTCATCAGTGTCTCCGAAGCATTGCTCGTGTATCCTGGGACAACCGTATAAGCAATGCTGTCGTTAGGAAACGAGCTCAGGTAAGGATGGCAATCTAATAGATGAAGTAGTGAAACTTCATCAGTTGAGGTGGTCGGGAAATGTGTAACGTATGCCTAACCACCGACTGCCCCGACGAGCTATGTTTTGTGGTGTAGGAGTAGGTTGAAAGAAAGTTGGGGGCGGCCAGACCAGAACCTGGCAGAAATCCATGAAGTCAAGTCAGTGACAAGTGGACTGAGTCATGTTGGTAGATGTAGACTACCTGGTTGGAGTCCGCGAGACGAAAGTCACCAATGGTTAGAGACCTTGAACGACGAGGCTCAAAATCATTTGCAGTGGCGCAGGTGCATCCACTGTTTGTGTGCTTTTTAATTCTTACCTTCTGAATTCCTCATAATCTCTATCTTTCTCCTTCTAAATTTATCTCACTGAATTATACTTTTTGAATCATATCTTGGCTCCCTAAACTTCTCCATTGCTGCTAATAATTCTACTATCGCTATCACTCTTGGATTTGAACTGACAGTTGCGTCTGTGTGCTGATGTGGTATGGCAACCTGAACTGATGTACTTATGTACGAAGTTCTGCGTTGTATCTGTCCATAATGTAGATAGTAAGTTCTGCCATTCGAGCGAATGTACGTTCAAATCTTAGCTAGGTATCAAGGAATAATAAACACCATTATTTTTCACAATGCAAAGGAGTGTCATTAGTGACGCATATTATTTTGATTGCTTGGTATGCAACGGTATACATAATTCCAAAGCCTGTCGCTAGAGAGTAAAGTTAGACGGACTGAAAAGTATTGAGTAAACTAGGGTCCAAAACTACTTGTGGTAACTTTGACTCATGGGTGGATTTTAGTAGACGTAATAACATCCAAATTCATTTCTTTCCCAACCATCGGAGCTGGGTATTATAACCTAAAATGTCACAGGTTCTCTAGGTCCTACCATGCGAGTTGGATAAATGGTAAGGATGAAAGTAGGAATCTCACGGTCCGAGGGCGAAATCCTACTGCCTAATTTGCAAGGGTGTAGCAACAGTATTGTATTCCTCTAAACTACGAAGATCTGCCGGGACTGTAGGACAAGACTAGTAAACATATGCTTCAAGGATAGCTGTTGAGGTTTTGTTTCTGGTAAAAAGTCGAAAAGCATCAATCTAACTGGGACCTGAGAAGAACTCATGAGTGACGCCGGTGCATTTATGCTTTGTGTTCTCTCAAATCCTAATCTTCTGGGTTCTTCAACAACTCTAGTTTTGACTTTCTAAACTTTCCTCATTAAATCACACTTCTTGAATAATATCTTCTAATCCTAACCTCTCCGATTACTCCTAATACCTTTACTATCTCTTCTACTATTGGATTTGAATTGACAATTACATCTCTGTGCCGATGTGGTATGGCGACATGAACTGATGTACTTGTGTACGAAGTTCTACGTTGCATCTGACTGACTGACCAGCCTAGAGAGACTTTTCCTTGAGTTTCGTGCCCGCACTTCTGTTTTCTTTAGTAGGAGATAGTTCTTCATGGTGCAAAAAACCCGAGATATGACGATTATTGAAATACGTATAGCGGCAACTCCACCCGAAGCCCCTCTGGAGTTACTCCTGGTCCCAAGCCCGAATTAAGGGGGAGGGTTGTGCATGAGTTTGGTGACCCCATCCCGCAGGAAACTAACTCGCTAAAAAACGCTCATCAGAAAAATCAATACAAACTGTTTAAACTCTGTCCTAGAAACTAGGTCTTCATTCAGAAGAGTTATGACGTCTCATGACGAAAGCCGAGTTCCTTCGGAAGTCACGAGGCCGAAGCCTCTTCTGACAACCAGAGCAACCATTGTTCTAGCTACGTGGGATTTGCAAACAATGTGGGAGACCGAAAGACTTCCGAAATCGTTACAGAGATGAAAAGATACAACCTGGATGTGCTTGGAATCAATGAGACGCATTGGACGCAGGTTGGTCAACTAACATTAGCTTCAGAGGAGCTGC